AGAGCTATGCTGGTTAAGACACATGCACACCCTAGTCTGGCTCCTTCTCACTGCAGACACAGGGCCAGACCCTACCACTCAGCTCTGCGAATGCCACGAAGACCACTCATCTCAAATTTTTTCCCTGGCTCCTGCAGGATGTTAGTTTTCATGAACAAGTGGTCACAAAATGCAATTCTCATGACAATTACACATATGCAAATGCATGAGGACTTTGTGTAACTGTGGCATTGATATTCACCTCTCCAAAGGCCAAAACGGATCATCTCTCCATACTAGCACATCCCCAGAATGCACAGCAACTTCTCAGCATTCCCCACTCAGCATATGCCAGGCCCTCCGGAAGCCACAGCCGGTGTCCAAGACGATGAGTCATCTCTGGTATGTGACACAATATTGTGTGAGGGTGGGTACTAGTTATGGTGGGCCTATCTGTCCAGCAACGTGGAGCTGATTTCAAGTTAAAGTGAAAATCAATTTAATCTTAGCATTCTTGGTAACAACACACTGATTCAGATGCCGACGGAGAAAGGTCCACAGAAAAAACTGCTCCTCGATGAGCGCTCTGGGAGAGTAGCACAGATTTAAGTTTTGCTTTATTTTATCATTATATAAGATAATTACATAATATCAATTACGGAAGGAAAGTGCACCTTAGTTTTAAGTGTTGCCTTGTTTAAACTGCCTTGAGTATTTTCTGTTCCATTAACTAACAACTGCCCAAAGAGCATGTGTAGATTTAGAGCAACTGAGCTTCGCTCACTTCTGGACATTAACTAGATCACAGAATCTCACCTAGAAAGACTCCTTAAGAAGATGATCCAGGGCACAGGTGCCACAGCTCTATGGGCTAATCCTCTGTCTGCAGGTGCAGAAACCCAATGGGTGCTGGTTCCTGTCCTGGCCACCCCGCTTCCCACCCAGCTCCCTGCTTATGGCCTGGGAAAACAGTAGAGGATGGTCCAAAGCCTTGGACTCCTGCACCTGCATGGGAGACCCAGAAGAAACTCCTGGGTTCTTGCTTTGGATTGCCATTGTGGCCATTTTTGGAGGAAACAAGCAGATGGAACATATATGTTATTTATTCTCTCTGTAAATCTACCTTTCTGATAAAAAACAAATTTTTTAAAAAAGAACACGATCCAGGGGCTACAAACTGCATCCCATAAGGATGCTGATACAACCGCCCACTACTCCACTTCCGATCCAGCCCTCTGCCAATGCACCTGTGCTAGCAGAAGATGGCCAAGTACGTGGACCCGTGCTCCCTGTGGGGATGAAGGTCCTGGGTTATGGCTTCAGTCAGGCCCAGCTCTGTCATAGCAATCTGGGGAATGAACAAGCACATGAAAGATCTCCGTCTCTCTCCTAACTCTGCCTCTCAAATAAATACATTTTAAAGAAAAAAGGAAAAAAATGACTGGTGGAGGAAATTTGAGGCCAAGATCTCACTGAGCTTTACGTAAGCTACTTATTCCTTTGTGTATCATTTTTTTCCTGAAAAAAATGAATCCATACATACCCTGGAGCCATGCAATTATGTCTGGAAATAAAACTGCTGAAAATGTGTCCAATAAACAGTAGCTACAGTCCTCTCTGCATGGAACTTCACACTAGACTAGAAAATCACCCTAAGATTTTAAATGCATTTCCCCAATCTCCAGCTACAAGCAAAATTCACAGTCTCAAGAAAAAACAAGTACGGATATAACTCAGACAAAATGACCAAAGAATAGAATTATCATCTGTCATGTCTCAAGGAGCAACTTACTCTAAGGATTTGTAAATCTGTTTCTGCCCCGTTCCAACATATCTCAGACCTTTCCAAAAAAGAACTGGATCCCAAACTTTCAAAAAGGTGCAAGCCACTATCATAGCAGAACCTAGCTATTTATATAGCCTAAGAAAAAGAAAAGGCAAGGAAGTCACCTCTGTTCTGAAGAGGGAGGGCGCTCAGGCATGGGTTCTGGTGAACTTTACCAGGGACAGTCCAAAGGTGTGCCAGGTGGCAGCAGGTGCTATTTGGCATCCATGCCAGGTTGTGGGCAGACTTCTCCCATTAACTAACAATGTTAACTAACAATGTTAACTAACAATTAACTAGCAATGTTCTCACACAACTTTTAAAAAGATTTATTTTGCTTTTATTGGAAAGTCAGATATATAGAAGGAAGGAGAGACAGAGAGCAAGATCTTCCATCTGATGACTCACTCCCCAAGTGACCATAACAGCTGGAGCTAAGCCAATCCGAAGCCAAGAGTCCAGAGCCTCCTCCGGGTCTCCTACGTGGGTGCAGGGTCCCAAGTCCTTGGGCCATCCTCCACTGCTTTCCCAGGCCACAAGCAGAGTGCTGGATGGGAAGCAGGGCTGGCAGGATTAGAACTGGTGTCCATATGGGATCCCAGTGCATGCAAGGCCTTTAGCTGCTAGGCTACCACGCCGGGTCCAGTTCTCATACAATTATGGTTTCAGCATCCTTTTCCGCTCATGTGAAAAGGGATAAACTTAGTAACTTTTAATATGTGCAACTCCCCACACATAGCTGACACTACTGGTTCAGTAAAAAGAAAGATGCTGATTCTGCCAATGGCACTATTATCTTGTACACTGTACACAAAATGTCAAGTATTTCAGCATACTTTTGGTCACGGTGTTCACAGGAATGGCCCTTAGGGACTGATGTAGCACAGCAAGCCACTGCTTGCAACACCAGCCTTCCACATGAGAGAACTGGTTCAAGTCCCAGCCACTCGACTTCCCATTCAGCTCCCTTGTAATGTGCCTAGGAAGGCAGTGGAAGATGGCCCATGTACCCGGGCCCCTATGTGGGAGCCTGGAGTTCCTGGCTCCTGGCTGCTGTCTGGTCCAACCTTTTCCTTTGGGACATTTGAGAAATGAGAAATGACAGAAGATCTCTCTGTGCCACTACATCCTTCAAATCAAAAAAAAAAAAAAAAAACGGGTGGGGGGGAGGAGCATGGTCCATAATGCATTTTTCAATAGCTACAGCATCTTCATTCTGATACAACCTTGAAACTCTAACCGCACAGCCCCGGGAGCCACAGACACATCAGTTCCCCTTCCTGTGCCGGAAGCTCCCTTTCCGGGAGGTCAAGGTAAAAGGCTCACTTCTTAAATTGTTCCTAGCGGATGTCCCCGGAACTAGGGTGCTTTCGAAGTTGTTCGCCAGAGGAAGCCACACTAGCTAGGCTCCACGCCAACCCTATACATACATGCCTATCTTCATATGCTGACGTCCTGTGTGTCCCTGTCATCTTCTCTCCTACTCCTCCGGCAGTCAGCCTTTGCTAAATCCCAATGTTTTGTTTCTTTCTGAGAAGCCGGTTCTCCAGGGGCGATATTTACATCGGCGCACAGCTTTTACTAGAATACCTATTTGACAGCAACCTAGCTTTCTGGGGAGGAGGAAGGCGGGCCTCTGGTACTGGAAACAGCATCCGAGTCTGCCCTTGTCTCCGGCCCCACACCTGGCAGGGCTGGCTTCGCCTGCTCGAGCCGCACAAGCCCTGGGCTGCAGGGATGCTGCGTCACACGTGGGGCGTCGGGGGGCCGCAGGCGCACGGGCGGTGGCGACGGACTGGGCATCACGTAGGCGCCCGCGCATAGCCGGGGCGGTGCCCAGAGCGCCCCAACCTGCCCCGCCGCGCCGGCCTCGCCCAAGGACGAAGGGAAGGTCGCAGGATGGGTGGGCCAAGGGCGAGAGGGCACCGAGCCGGGCCTCGGGAACATCCCTCCTCGACTAGCGAAAAACCTAAGAAATTAGGCGCCAGGGCCGTGCGACGCATTTGAAGCAGAAGGAACCGGAGAAGAAAGGAAGAAAAATTTAAAAATCAAAGCCGGCTCTGGGAACGTGACTCCAGCCCGCACGATCCGCGAGGCTCCAAGGGTGAATTCGTCTACAAAGCCCGCGTCTACTTTTTAATGGTAGGCTCCGTCTTAGCCAGGAATTTACAGGAACCTGGAACCCCCGCAGCGTCCGGCGCCGCCTCAGCTTAACCCGCCCTGCCCGGAGCTCCGCCGGGCCCTTTGAAATGCTAAATGATCTCCAAGCCCTGCCTCGTTCTGTGGCCCAAGGCTAGGGACCCCTCCCCCACCCCCGGCCTCCGGCTCCCCCAAGCTTTGAGGTCAGCTTCCACGTTGGGGAGAAGGAGCGCGGGGGACGTCTCGGAATCCCCGTTTCCTGGTCTTTCCTAGCCACCAGGAGGCTGGCGCGGAGGGAGGGCATAGTAACCCATTTTTGTTTTCAGTTTTGTCTCAAGCCGGAAGGCGACGCAAGGAAAAATCTTTAATTAAAAAAAAAAAAAACCCTCCCAGGAGTCATCTAAGGTGTGACCAGAGAAACACGAGGTGGAAACGTCCCGGGCGTCCCAAGCGGGGTCCCGCAATGCAGCAGTGGGAATCCCACGTGCTTCTCCTGCGGGGGCGCAACTCGTGCCTGAGGACCCGGCTAGATTATCCACAATATTTCAGGGGTTCCGGTGAGTCAGGAGGGTAGGGCTGAACACAAGAGAGGTAGTCCTGTGTCCATCAAGCTTTAACGGAGTCGCCCGGCCCCCTTCGTGCGCCTCCCACGCACAACGACCCACGAGGAGGATGTTGGAAGCGGTCCTATCGCCAGCCTTAATACATGAACCTGTAGGTGGAAAACTCCTTGAGCTTCCCCCATGGAAGATCCTACAGCCTTACCCCTTCCCGACTCCACCCCACCCGCAGCGTGGCTCCTGCCGCCCCACCCAAATCCCTCACGTTGCCGGGCCCGGGAGGCGTCGCCGTGCCTCCAGTCACCGCTTCCTCCCAGGTGGCTTTCCCCAACGCGTCTCTACGGAACCTCCTCCTCCCTGCTCCCTGCTCCCTGGCACTCCTCCCTCCTCGCCGCTCTCGGTTCTCCAAGAAAACCACCCCCACCACCATCCCTCGGCTGCCTCCCCCGCCACAGCCGCCACCATCCCCACACCTCCCCAAAACCAAGCGCACACACCTTGGGCATCGCCACCGCTGGTCAGCACACCGATGGCTTTGCCGGCCCCGGAGAGCTGCTCCAGGAACTTCCGGTAGGAGCCCCGAGGGGTCGAAGAGACTTTGACGTCCATGGCGAGGAGGCCGAGGGACAGCGGCTCGCTCGGGTGCGCAGCAGGCAGTGAGGACCCGGCCCACGCGCGCGCGCCTCGGAACCGCCGCCCCGCCTGCGCCCCGGCTCGTGCGCCAATGGGCGGCGGCGGGCGGTGCTCCAGCGGGCGGGCGGGGCCTGCTCGGGGCTGCCGGGGACCGCGGCCTGTCCCCGGGCAGGGCCGGGGGTGGGAAGTGATGCAGCGTCGCTGAGGGCACTGCAGGTGGAGTGGGGGGCGGAGCGGGAAGCGCTGCGGCTGCGGGTTGGAGGAGGCGTCGCGGGGAGATGAGGGGGAGGGGAGGAGACGGCAGATGGGCGGGAGTTCCGCAGGTGGGCGGATTCGCATCTGGAGTGGGGGAACGCCGCAGGTGGGGCCTTGGGTCTTCCAGACAACCACCTGAGCGAGAGCCTCGTGTAACGGGCTGGGATCCGTTCTGTCGGTTGAGAAGAGCCAGCCACAAGACTGGCGCGAGTCCCGCTTCCCGCGTGATACCCCAGGAGGGGGTCGTCCCAGCCTCTCCCTCTAGGTTTTTTTCCTCGAGCTAGATGTCTGGGTGGAAGCACATAAGTGCCTATCCTTTGGTTGGCAGGAGGAAGCCGTGGCTGTCGCTAACTGGGCCGTCCTAGTCACCAGTGAGTCTTTAAGGCATTTAGGCCCTGTAGAGTCACGCTGACCCCGGCCGAGGGAGGGGAGGGGAGAGAGGACGGGGAAGGAGGTCTTTGAGCTATTAAACTCAGCACTGGAGACCCAGAGAGTGGTGTACCCTGCATAACACGGCTGGGTAAAGGATCTCGCCAGTAGGGGCATGGTAGCGACGGCCACCTTCCAGCGCAATGGGGGTTTGTCTAGCGAATATAAAAGGAATGAAAGCCTGGAAAGGTATCCTACATCAGCTGTTTACGTTGCTGAAAGATGGTGATACTCAGGCTATGTGTTGACTCTTTGCCTCCTGCTGCTCATCTTTCTGAGTACCAAGATGTGGGCAGACTGGATGGTCTGAGCTGTGTCTTGGGCTGGGAATGGTGGAGGGTGGAGCGATTTTCAAAACCAGGTTAGTTACCAGGCCCCCTGGCCGTGAGCTCCATTTCAACGGATCACCTAGGACAGGCTGAAATAAAACATGAGTGGGTGGAAAATGTCCATGACACTTCCTACCTGCAGGCACCATACAAACCACCAGTGTGTCTATCAAAGTCTGAGGTCCTAAATCCACAGCCAGTAGGACAGTGTAACTCATGGTGCCCATGGCGGACTCTGCCGTCCATCTGTCCGTCCCACGTGGCCGGGTCTCTGTGAGTCTGAGCCTCTTCCTCTTCCCACAGTGGTCCCCATGTGTGTGGACTCAGCACCTCCGACCTGGTGTAATCATAATTGAACTCAGGTCTCTGCAGGCCCAGAACACATACCTTTCCCTTGTGCCTTCCTCAGGTGCCTTTATGGGGAGTCCTTCCTTCTGGCTTCTCTGGCTGAAACTGTGGGTGACTGTTGGCCCCGATGTTTAAATCCATTGCAAAGTTGTGCTGGCATGCTCTCTTGGGTCGCTCCATCAGCTTGTGTCTCCTGAGGCATGCAATGACAGGTGTCTGCCACATCTCCCTGCATTGTTGCTGCCTCCATCCCCATCTCCAGTGCTGTGAAATCCAGAGTAAGTGTACTGAATGGAAATCCAGAGCCCTTCTCTCCTCCACAGACCCCTATTCATAGAGGGCAATGAACCTCCCCACCAGGAAGACATCCAGGGTCCCCAAACACCAGGCTGTCTTCTCCCAGTTACTCTAATCTCACAGCCCCTCTTTCTGAACCCCCACAGTCACTTCTGCCTGTCTTGCATAGGCCATTCATTGAAGTTGCCTTCATGGTGAGGCCATCTTAGCTTGCCATTTTTGGACTGACCATCTCTCATTTCAGTCCCATTTTTTTTTTCTCCCTAAGATTTAGCATCTCAGGTGCACAAAATGTCACCTGATGACTTAGTTTCTTGGCAGGTTTCACCCACTGGCGTCTTGGGTATGAAAAATCCAGAGGTCAGTGTTTGTCTGTTGCTGCAGTCCCAGGATGCACACAGAGCCTGGAGCACAGTGGACACTTTACAGAAAGGATGAATGAATGAATCACGGGACATAACTATTCTGAAACTCCTCTCACTGATTGGGTGAACCTCAGCTGAGGAAGAGCTCATGAATGTGGCAAGGTATATTCACTTTGTGCTTGGCCTGTGTACATATCCCATTATCATACACCCTGAAATAATCCGCTTTCATCAGAGTGGTCCCTAATAAATTATTACAACCAGTTTTATTTTCCCATGGGGTGTTTTAATCGATTCAGATCCATTTCATGCTTTCGTTTTAAGCACATAGCCTTCACTCATACTCCGATACCACCAGATTCTCCTATTTGGCCATCATTTTACTTCAAAATTACTTACAGAATTGTGTGAAAATCTGAGCTACACATTGAAATTGGGGCCCTGGAGTCACTGCCCCTTCCTCCCATCGTCATTCTCCTCTCTAGTTGGGTTAGCCTACACAGTTTGGTTCAGCTACCTACAAAATGCTGACATGTCAAACTTTCATAAAAATGAGCTTTCTTTAAAAAAAATTATATTTTTCATGTTACAGTTCCTTAGGCTCAGGATTTCCCCCAGAAACGTAGGCAGTGTAAAAGGCTGTGGATGCTAAAGAGGAACCCTTCGGTTCCTTGCACTGTCTTCACCACCTGGGGATACAGACTGGCCCAGAACCAAGGCTCCGCTGATGTGCCCTCTGTCTGGACAGCATCCTTCTAACCACTGAGCAGCCTTTGGCCGACCTACAACCACGGAGGTGCAGTCTGCCTCCCTTTTCCTCGTACTCCTTCCCCGCCCCTCTGTGATGCTGGAAAGTCCAAGAATAAGCAAAATTACTTGCTGGACTAGGAAGTGCTGTTTTCAGTGAGTACCTCTTGCTACCAGTTTCCTTCCAATTCTTTGTCCTTTGGAATACTTTTGTTGTATATCTAGCAGTCACACTGTATATAAAACGGTTGGCTGATTTCCAAATCTCTGGGACAGAATTAACCTGTCCTGAGACAACTCAAGTTAATATGTGGCAGAAGGAAAAAAAAAAAAAGTCAGTGTGAATTTTAACTCTTGTGGGCCTTTTCAGCAATGGTATGCGCTAAGGCCTCTTGCACAGGACTCTGTTTCCTTCTTAATATCGTGATATAAGTTGATGAGCAAAGAGCTCCTCATCCCCCAACACTTTTCATGAAATAAGAGGGCAGCAGTGGCATGTGGCTTATTACCTGGTGCTACAGTGGAGGAAACTGACATGTTCTTTCAGGAACATGGCTAAAACATCTCCCTAGCTGCTGGTGTTGCTTCAGAAAGCAAGGAGACACCTCTCTCCGTAGAAAAACTGTGATGTCGCTTCCTGGTTAGAGAAATCACAGTTTCAGCAGCATCACAGTTGACTAAATATGTCCCGTACACTCATTGTAAAATGCTAAATCTGGATTATCTTTTTGCATATGCCAGCATGTAGACCTCTAGATGTTGATATTTGAATTTATGGTTACAGGTTCCTCAGCCCCCTTGGAAAGGAATACAATGTACATGATTATTAGTGGAGTACAAGTTTGTTCAGCTGTTATGAAAAACTGTGAGGTTGTTTCCTCATATAATTAAAACAGGACTACTATTTGATCCAGAAATCTTACTAACTACACCATATATCCAAACGAAATCATTTATTGCAGCACTATTCACAAGAGCCAAGGTATGAAGTCAATCTAAGTGTCCATCTTGAGATGAATGGACAGAGAAAAATATGGTGTATATGGACTATGGAATACTCTTCAGCCATAAGAAGAGAATGAAATAGTGTAATTTGAAATGGACGAATCCAGAGACCATTATGGAAAGACAGAAAGATAAATATGTGAGCTCACTTATATATGGAGTAAAAAAAAAAAAAAATTCAGTCTTCGTTGCAGATTTACCCAGTGGTTCCGAAGCGTCTAGAAGATGGGGAAACACAGAGATGTTGATCAGAATGTGCAAAGACCCCCTAAGCTAGGAGGAGTGCTTCAGAGATCTGTTATACAACACGACACATACAATTAGTAGTAACGGGGGCTGGCAACGTGGCTCAGGGGGCTAAGCTACCACCTGCATTGTCTGCATCCCATATGAATACAAGTCCCTGCTATCCTCTTCCAATGCAACTCCCTGTTTATGTGCCAGGGAAAGCGGTAGATGAGCCATGTGCTTGGGCCCTGCCAACAATGCAGGAGAACCAGATGGCAGTCAGGCTGCTGGCTTTGGTCCAGCCCAGCCCTGCTCATTGCAGTGACTTTGGGAGTAAGAGGATGGAAGAGTTCTCCTTGTCTCTCCTTCCCTGTTTTTGTAACTGCTTATGAAATAAAGGCCAATGATAATAACAATGTGTTGCATGCTTGAAAGTTAACACCGTGGATTTTCATTGTTCTCAGGACAAAAAACTAAAGTTAGGAGGTGCTAAATATGATAAGTAGCCTGCTTTAATTTTATATCCCAAATATTGTTTCATGTGATTTAGTCATATAACAGGACACGTTACAGCATGATGCACCGTGATTTACAATACAATTTAATCATGTATCATGCATATCACATTACATACCATAAGATACAAATTTTAGTGAAGTTTTAAAATCTGTTCTCAATTTAGGAAAAATATTTTTTTATTTAAATTTACTTTTTAAATTTATTTTATTTTATTTTAAATTTATTTTTAAATGTTTGTTACATAGCAGAGGGGTTTGCAGACCCATGAAGTTCTCTGGATGGGATGGGAAGGTGAGTGAGCAGACCTCACCCTCTATCCTGTGACCCATGGGGATGGGGAGATGTCACGGTACTCCTTGCTGCCAGATCACTTCAGCGCCGGGGACAGACTTGATCCCCTGATTTTGTCTCAGGGACCCTGATGCAGGAGAGAATGTCCTGAGGGTGTTACTTGCCTTGTCTCGATTGTTTTGAGTTGGTATTGGCATCATTGTGGTAGAAATGAAA